TGTCAAGTTCGAAATTATTCTAGTTAATCTGTATTAGTCAAAGAAAAACCAGAAAAACCGTAACGGCGTCACACTTTTGACCGTCTTTTGTGACGCCGTTGCGGTTTTTCTGGTTTTTCTTTGACTAATACAGATTAACTAGAATAATTTCGAACTTGACAAGCTATCACATCTTGTAGAGCAAACAATTTTCTACAAACTGGTATACTTGTTCAATTTTTACCGGCTCGTCTTCAGTCTTTTAGACACGCTTTTTAGACAGCCTCAACATCGATTTTTGGGGCTGTTTGTACAACAGCTGTATTTTCATAACGAATCAACGTTCAGAGCCGAGACACTTTTCATTTTGTAGAGAAATCTAGTTGTCATTTACGATTAGTTTGTAGCTTTAATGCAATAACTTTTCAAAAAAGAGCAAAAAATGGAAGCCGTTAGCTGGACAAGCCGCTTACTCATTTTGCTTGTCATAAAGAGAATTACATATATCATGAAAGATTTTAACCGACTATCAAGACATTGCTCAGTTTTTGAAGTCCTGAGTATTTTGTTGAAAACATAGTATTCAACTCTAAAAGCTAAACATTTTCTGGAGCAAAAATTCTTATTCTATGTTCAACAGATAGACGCATTATGCGTTGAGGTGAAAGTGTCAACTTTGTCTGTATCATGGGTTTCGGCGTTTTCTAATATCCTTAGTGTGTTAGACAATGTTAATGAAAAATTTAGAAATGCCCTTAGAATTGCGTGAAAGTACTTTCTATATTTTATGAAGTTTTCACAGAAAAGAGAAAGGGCACAGAACGATGAATGGAGAAGCAGAGAGTCATATCTTTTTTCACATATTCAGTTAAGACGTGTCTAAACTTGCTTATTTTTTTTCATCCTTTTGGCGTGAGTGTGTATAGAGCTTTTCAAGGCATATCGAATGATGCATGAATGATTAGAGATTCTCTTTAGTTTCATAGAGAAAAATGTTCAAGAGTTTCCTTGGCATAGCCACGACCTATGGAAAAGGAAATTATTGTAGAGCTTTTCAAGAGCTATTTTTCTATACCAAGCTTTACTATAACTTTATATTAGACTTTGAACAAAATCGTTTTTGTTAAGCACCGATATGCTTTATGTACCTCCTCAGAAAAGTTATTTTAAAAAGTCTCCATAATGTTATAATGGTTCATATGGACTTCGAAATGTGTAAAATCATTTTCTCTACAAAATGTGATCATAACTAAGTAGAAAAAGTAGTGTCGAGAAACGTAATAAAATCATTTTATTTGATCATTTAGTGATTTACATAACAATTGGTTGTTTTAATTCTTTGTGACTAACAAAGTGAAATTATTTTAGAAACTGATGAATTGCTTGGAGTGATATGATAAATTCTCTCTTGTTTTTCAGAAATGAAGACCTTAAAGCAAGAAATGCTTTTGCTGAAGACGGCTTGGCCAAAAAAGAATGTCCACCAACAACCTACGTTTCAAACATGGGCAAACCATGTATCGTTACGCTATTCGATGAATATAAATTTGATGATTTTAATCTGCGATCTTTCAATTATAGCCCGATCTGTGCAGGACCTTGGTCCAAGGTTGTATTTGAAGGCAATTTTAATGTTACCCAAGGCATTCAGTTTGATCGAACAGTCACTATTGCACTTGGACGTGTGAATATTTATTTTGGTACAACAAAAGAACCATCACCAACTAGTGCAGAGTCGTGGAAAATTCAACGTAATCTTACTGACTATAGTTCATTATTTTATACTCAACAATTAGGTGAAATTGATTTAGGCAATCTTGTTAATTCAGAATTTACAGGTATTATCTATGGAACAGGCTTTCTGTATTTCTATCCACTCAAAAGTGGAGAACAAGAACCAAACGTTGCCGATAGAATTTATCCATTAGGCAATGAAGCAGGAGGAACAGTTTTATTATTTAATTCAACTAATCAACTCACAGTCACATTCAATTTACCTTCAAATATTGAACGTGTCTATCTAGATGTTTTTGCTCAAAGTCAAAGTTCTGATGAATTTTGGTACATATGCGTGCCTAGTGAGCTCAGTGATTCGTTACAAAGTTGCTCGAATACTGCATTTCGTGAAACTGAAATAAGCATCAACGAACAACCAGCAGGTGTAGCTCCAATATTTCCATGGATCTATACGGGTGCTATAGATCCAGACCTATGGACTCCAATTACTGCTGTGCAAACATTAAATTTTCAACCATATCGTGTTAATTTAACACCTTTCGCAGGTGTATTAAGTAATGACAAACAATCACATCAAGTATCGCTGCGTGTTTATAATTGTCAAGATCATTTTTCTGTTGTTGCTTCATTGTTAGTCTATCTTGATCATGGTTCAAGAAACGTAACAGGATCAGTAGTTAAAAATGATATAGGATTAACGAAACCTCCAGCGATAAATGAAAACTTGACAAATGATTCGTCTGGCGATAGTATTAATGCTACTATAACAACAACAGCAGCTCGAACATTCACATTATCTGGTTATATAAACACTTCTCATGGACAAGTCTGTACAACCGTTTCACAAACTATAGATTTCTCAAATAAACAGAAATTTGTCATCACACCTACACAATATATTCAAAACATTACACAAATAACAAATGTTTATTCAATAACAGAGACAATTGCAGGGATTGCAGGGAATAAACATCATAAAAATCGAGTTGTACAGAAATTTTCGTTTCCGCTTACACTTGATTATACATTTAATGCTTTATCGGACACGATATTGCAGCAAATCGTTACGGTAAAACAAACTTATAAGACAGCTACAAAAAGTGGAAACAACAAAATTTGTCTATCTGATACAGTCAAAACGACAGATACATCAATATTTAATGGCTCTAGCGTTGATCATTACAACAGGATGAGTTATGAATATTCAACGTTCACAGTTAATGGAAAATGTAAAAGTAATCTAATTACATCAACAAATGGTCATATTAATTCAAAAAGAATGTTACTTTCTAAAAAATTACGTTTTCATGCTAATAACACAATGGAATAAATCAACTAGTTGAAAACGACTTTTCTACAATATGATTTTGCGAATCTTTTACAAAAATCTGTAAAGAGCAGTAGTTGTTATTTTGGGCTGTTTAAAAAGATTTGAGCTGTTACAGTTGGTTTTTGTTGTTGTTGTACCAAATATAGACGATCTGAATGACTTTGGCTAACATCAGATAAGTGAAACAATAACGTTTATTCAAGTACCATATCCTTTGATAAGAAAAGCATATATACAATGCTTTTTGTTATAGAAAAAACATCAGTCATACAGAGTAAATAATTGATATAAGGCGACTATAACAGTTATTAACTGTTTACAAACGTCCAGAAAACCCGAGCACCCATGTCATACTTTACAGAACGTCCTAGGAGAGAATGGGCGCGGTGATCTTTATCTGTGGGTATTTCATAAAAAGATTTTCATAAATAATCATTTTAGGAAGATCCTTCTCGTGTATTTTATCAAAATCCTTCTTTTTTCAGTTTATGACGAAAAAATGATTTACATAGAAAGAATAAAAAATATTATTTGAATATTTTTAAATGTTTTTCATGAAAGCGCTTTTTTTCCAAAAAAAAGACTTATAGATTATTCATATATTATGCAGACGAGAAGTAGTGGCATTGCAACTACTTTTTGTGCCTATCACAAGACACCAATCTGCTGTGGCAGCAGCGTTTGGTGCCTCGAAGTCGTCATCTTCTCAAAACCTCTTCACTAATTCGACTGCTACTTCACAATCAAACACTCACATTCTTACTTCTACTTCTGTTTGTAATTCTACTTCTGATTCCCTCTCATCAACGCCAGTCGACAAAGCCACATCACTGACGTTCTCCACATCAACTACTAAAACAAAATTGAAGTTAACAAATTATTCAACGTCTACAGAAACTACAAATTCACAGACATCTAATGTCAATCAACAAACTAAATAGGTAAGACATGGTAAATGTTAGTAGTTCATTGGGTTTTTTTCTAAAGAGAGTAGTTTATAGTTTTGCTTGCCATTAACTACTAGTATTTGCGAGGGAAGTAGTTGGAATCCAACTACTTACAAGAGAACTACTTCCATTCTCTCACATTGAATAAATCAAACTCAGATGAGGTATAAATATTTATTTATTGATTGGTCGATAGAGATAAACAGAAAGTACAGTGGCGGATTTACGATGCTGGAAATTTTTGATTTCGTACTATTATACTCTCCTTCTTGTGCTACGTGCCGAGCGCATAGAATTTTTCATCGATGGTGTTGCTCTTTTGTACAAATCCGCCAGCACCGAAAATTTGTTCTAGATCCGCCACTGGTACTTACAATTAAATTGCTTCCTCTGAGCGCTCTTTTTGGACTTAGAAAACATTTCTTAATATGTATTATATAAAAAGAAGTAGTTAAAGCTCCAGTACTTCTAACCATATCCTGATGTTTCCCCAGAGTCTACGAGAGAAAATAAGAGTTTCTTTGATTGTCGGTTTTGCTGACATTCTATATGAAAATCAGTCGCGGTTTTTGATGTTTCTAAACCAGCAATTTCATTGGTAAATGTTGTTAATAACGCAGGATAAGAAAATGAATTTACCCAAATATCAATTAAATCTTGGCTAAACCGTCCAGATATGCCGCCGTGTCCTTTTCCAACATTGTTAATGGTGCATTCTATCGCTTGATCCATCGCAATTGAGGAGAACGGTCGGTTTGTACGATTCACAGCAAAGGAGCGTGCTAAACCATCTGATACATAAGCCGAACTTGAACGAAGATCGACAAAATGTTGTGCAAATAAACGAGCATAATTACGATGATTGTTTGAGAAAAATAAGGATGCCATTTTGCTCAATGCTGCATTACGTGCAGAAAAGTTGAAGGTTGTAAGGGTCATATATAATTCAATTAATGGTTGTAAATGGTGTAATACAAAATACCAAAATTTAAATGCTAAATTATGTTTACTGCGGTCAACTGCCCATATATTGAATACACTAACCAATTGTAGGTTTTTCAGTTCATTCAGTAAATCATAAAAACACTGTTGTTTTAATCAATCTTTGAGATAGTCATAAAAGGGAAAACAGTCTCTTTTTGAGAATACACTGCGTAGTGATATTCTGACACCCCTCACACCATGTTGTTCAAAAGATATTGACAGATGAATCCTTCCCGTCAATAACTGATTACTGCTTATTAACGTTAATACAATCTACTCTACTAGCGTACAGTCCCATTTGCAAAATAACGACTCAACGAAAAAATTCATGCAATACCACATCTGATAGAGAATTTCATGGTCTACAACATAGGCTATATCCAGGTCTGTTCGAATTTCATAAAAAGTTCAAAATAGGATTTATTTAAAGAAAAGACAAGTTGTTCAATTTACTTCAACCACTTGGGTGTTCAAACAGTTTATTTTATTTCAAAAAATACAATTTTTTTAATTTTTGTAGAAGAAAAGAAAACCTTTTAGTTTAACATGAGTTTGAAAACGATACATGTGTTCATCGGCGTCCGTGAGAAGGAAATAAATCAAAAATATTACTTCCAATAATTTGTCGTTTTGGTAGTTCCTGATGGTATGTCCTCCACCGTAACAAAAACAGATTTACTGAACCTTCAAGATGAATTCGAACAGATCTGGATATAGATATAGTCTATGTTGTAGACCATGAAATTCTCTATCAGGTGTGATATTGCATGAATTTTTTCGTTGAGCCGTTATTTTCCAAATGGTACTGTACGCTGGTAGAGTATACTGTATTAACGTTAATTAGCAGTAATCAGTTATTGACGGGAAGGAAAGAACAAAATTTTTATGATGAAGGACGAACGGTCAGGAAATATTTTAATAGTAGTTCTGTGTTAAAAAATTTAACATCATTTTTTTAAGTAATTAGTTTTCTGCTCAGCCAGATAATGTCACTAAGCGGAAAAAACTTCAGAACATATACTTCGAAGTATCCTCTACAAACTAGGCGGCTTGTACACGTAATGGTCACTTTCGATGAGAGGACTTTTAAGTAAAAATTCTCATAATCGACTGACGCCAAATTGTACAGTCACTCGATTGTATATAGAAACACAGTTTTTGCATTGAATTTGATAGAGAAGTGCAGGTTTTTATTAATACGTATAAGTCGCTCTCTTCGATGATAAACTAGTCTAATTTGCACACATACATTCTTCTATCTGTAGACGCTTATATATCGCATACATAGAAGATCAACGTAGACTATGTTAATCAGTAACAATAGGCAATTTTTTTGATATACTTAAAGTTTTTTTCTACCACCGCGGTCCTCATGGCATGGAGCACGAAACGTCACCAATAACGACATCATCATAACGAAAACATAATTTTAACTCGATTCCTGTTCAATTCAACGAATATTTCAACTCTCTAGCTGACCTGGTTATTGAGAAAAGTCAGAAAAACAGTAGCCAAACGTAACAGCGTAACGCTTTGACAAGCCAAAGGATATTCTAAAGAAAATCGAAATCGGAGGACATCCATGCATGTATCTAACGCATGGTGCAAAAGTAATGGTGTAAATGTCGAGCATTATTTCTGCATGTTCCTGATGTGCAGAAGAGTTAATTATTTTTTCGTTGAAAAGAGCAAAGTCTGAACTTCGTAAAACATACAGAACAAATTTTTTTCTGATTAAGTTTGAGTGAGAAAAAATCTAAATAGCAAACGTCGCCAAAAAAGCTCTTGCAACTTTCACTCTTTTCAATCCTGTTTCTCTCATAAAGCATATTTTTCCCTATAACAGCATATGTCTGAAATTAAGTAATTGTAGAAACTAGAAGTGTTTTTATCGCTCTTTCGAATGGTGGATGATAAATTATCTTTCGGCCCACTTTTCAAACTAGAAATTCGCAAATTTTTTATTAGGTTCAGACACATAGTTAATTAGATTTAATTAATAATTTTCATATACTGAACCAACTTCTTCCTTTTGTTAAACGCATTTTCTGAAACAGCATTCAATTCTCTGCAAATTCATATTATTTAAAATCTTTACTAATACATTTTCAGTCATAAATATTGAAATTTTCTCGATGTGTCATCGTCCCATGCAAACTGGTGCTTTTCCACTAAAACTGAGTTTTATCATACGGTTTTTTTACCATTGAGGAGTTATTAAAGAACTTTTAGAAAGTAGAGGGATCGACAGAGTTTTGCATGAACTTCATTATCATCTATTTAGTTTTCAAAGCTTTTCAGGCTGAACTGGAAGTGAAAAGAATAAAAAGGAAAATTACGTTGCAAGATCTTTCTGAGATCAATGGAAAGAATGTTGTCGTACTGTTCAAATTGGATAAATAAAAAATTGTTTGCCAGACAAATTTGTTCTCTAGACTTTGTTCTTGTCGTTGAGAAATACGGCTTAACATTTATACCATTACTTTTGCAACATATGTTATATGAACATTTATAGGATATTAAATCAAAAATGAATGCGCTCTTTTTCAAAAGCATGACGATCCAAAGACATTATCACTTCTAAGAAATCTAAATAAACCAAGATGAGAAGACCTAAAGAATAACTTATTTTTGTTTCAATTACCAGCTGCTACAGTTCAGTTTTGTTTATTTATTAGTTTCAAAATAGAAATAGAAAGTGTTTTTGGTTACTTCATTAAGTAACAAACCAAAAAATGCCTGTTCGTTGTGTCATCTGTTTTTTCCCAGCTTGGCTAAACTTTGTAAAGCTATTTTTAGTTCTACTGGATAGAGCGTTCAAAAGTGTATACGTCTCTATGATTTTCGTATTGGTACACCATGTTGTTGAAAAGATATTGACAGATGAATTAGTGATGGTACTCTTGTTTTCGCTATTTCTTCACTTGATGACGCTTTTTTAGTCTGAGAAAACGAGTTCACTTAGCTTTTCGATAGTAATTCTGAAAGCTGGCATGTCAGAGAATAGGAAGCATTAACTTGCAATGGTCCAAACATTTTTTCTGAGATCAGAGAGAGCTGCAAACTAGGGAAAGAACAAAATTTTTATGATGAAGGACGAACGGTCAGGAAATATTTTAATAGTAAACCTGTGATCAAAAATTTAACATCATTTTTTTAAGTAATTAGTTTTTTGCTCAGCCAGATAATGTCACTAAGCCGAAAAAACTTCAGAACATATACTTCGAAGTATCCTCTACAAACTGGAAAACATTAACAAAACAATTCAAAATTAAAAAATTATTTAAATTTCAAAATTTTGGTAAAAGCCCGGAAAAAGATTCTAAATTTTTTTCTTAAAAACTACAAGTTCGTGAACCAAAATAGTGCTGAATATATACTTGAGACTGTATTCTCCAAATTGAAGCCAAAAAAGCCGGGAAGCTGTTTTTGGCGTCGATAATAATTATTCTACATACAATAAATTTTTCCGCAAAAATTTACAATATGATTTTCCATCAAAGTGTACTGAAAGATAATCGACCACGGCGCATGCAACGGGCATACATTTGAACCGCTTAGAGGATTTCCAGAGGATCTCTAGGAAACCTTTTCTGATAAACGGAGGTATGCAGATAAAAGAAAGGTTTGCATAAATAATTAAGTTTGGAGCATTTTACAGATACATGCTAGAGATTTCCAGAAGGCTCTTAATGGGTCTCCAGAAAACCCTTTTGCGTTTATTGAGGTTTGAACATCGCAAAGCTTGTGGTATCAGCCGTTTGGTGTTGCAGCTTAAATCAAAATCCGCGTATTTTGACGACTTTTAAATTTTAAAAAGTTTTAAATTTAAAAACCGTTGAAATTTTTGCAAACGAACCTAAAGTTTGACACAGGTTCTCATATAGATAAATTTTTGTAGCGAAAGTTTTGTTCGAACATGAAGCGGTGAATGGATTTAGCTAAAAATCGGTTTTTAGAAAGGGTTTTTAATTGCAGTGAGAAACTCTTGCCAAAAATCCTGCAATAGCGAAGCATGACGGAGTAAAAGTCCTGCTACAAAAATTGTGCGCAATGGTCGACTACGGGGGGG